TGTATGTATCTTCCTCCTAATCTCTCTCTCTCTCTCTCTCTCTCTCTCTCTCTCTCTCTCTCTCTCTCCTCTCTCTCTTCACTCGGACTCCTTCTCTTTTTCCCTATTTCCTTCATTCTTTTCTTCCTTCTTCCTCTCCATCTTCTTCTTCCTCTCCTTCCCTACCTCTCATCGTCTTTCCTGCCTCCTTAGCTTTACATCGGGGGATTGTTCATTTCGTTTTGACATTCCAGATTTTTATTTGATTTTCATATGATTGTACATTAATTTTCTATATACTTTATAATGGTTCACTTTTTCTTGACTGAGATCAGTTTGTTTATTTTTACTTGGGATTTCATCAAATGATTTATGAAAGGTTTCCTAAGAGAAACTTGAATTCAGAATTTAACTATTGAAGTCATTACAACAAATACTATTATGATGATGTGGAGAAATGTCAATGCTGTTGTTAGCTTAATATGATAGGTATTACCATTAGCATATCATTTACTACTGTTATTTTATGTATTATTTGATTTTCATCTCCCTAACTACTATGATAATTATTCCAGTCCATTCGCGATCAAATGGCAACGAGTTTGAGTCGATTGAAGGAACTGGAGGAGGAAGTGAAGACCATCCCAGTGCTACAGGTATAGCCTTTAACCCTACTATATATGTAGGTCTATGTAACATGCTCTTTCTTTTCTTCTGACTCTCCTTCGTCGTTTGTTTTCTTGTTTGCTCCTTACTTTGTGTATATATGTATGTTTGTATGTAGGAAGCAAGCAAGAAAGACAGAGGCATAAGGAGAGTTAGAAGGAGAAAAAGAGCCTAGAATATGTTTTTATTCCATTTAATTTTTATTTCATACTCCTTAGTCAACTACAGTTTTTTCTTTACATTCTTCTTTTTTCCTTTCTCCTTCTGTGTCCTTAACTTTCTCTCCCCTTGTTCTCATCCTTGTTCCTCCACCAGGTCAAGCTGAATGTCCTGAAGGAGGAGAAGCGGTTCCTCCTTCAGCAGCTCAAGTCGTTGAGGCTCAAGGGAGATGATGTGCCCTTCCTGCTTCCACCTGGCTTGGACAGTGACCTAACCGACCTCTCAGAGGATGAGCTAGAGGGCCGACTGGCCACCCTAAAGCAGCACCGTCGGCCATCACGGAGGCGTAGCGAGTCACGTAAGAAAGGAGTTTTGAAGACTTTAGTTGAGTTTGGGAAGTTGGGTTTTGGTGACTGTAATATTTTTGTTAAGAGTTAATATTTTTGTTAAGAGTAAAGTTAACACTTCCATTGATTTTAATCTTGCCCATTTTGACCCCTTGTTTCTGACATGCAGCTATGCGAGTCAACCTGGAGGAGTTCCGTTCATATCGGCGTGCAAGGCGAGGTTCTCTCTCAGAGGGATCAGAGTGTGAGTCAGTGCGATCAGTAGCTGAAGACACACCTCTCTTCATTAAAGAAGTGCAGGATCATACCTCAGAGCGCCGTCTCAGCTATGACACGTCTGCTGAGAGGCGCTTGGGCTTGGAGCCAACTGGAGAGAAGAGAGTGAGCCACAGCATGCCCAGCACCCCTGTTGTTCCCCGGAAGAGTGTCCGTGATGCATCTACTAGTTGCCGAGTTTTGACAAGGGACATTGGGGTTTCCCATATAGGAGCACGCACACGTTCTGTTGGACTCACCACAGATAAGGTAGAAGTAGACAGGAGGAAGGAGATCAAGGCCAAGCCCTGCATGCAATGTTATGAGAGGAATCGCCGTACCTTTGAGAGCAAGGGGGTTGGGACGCCCACAGAGCTACAAGGAGACAAGCAGAGGCGGCTGAGCATGAGCAGTGTGTCCCTGGAGAGTGTAGAGCCAGATGATGTGGATGCAGACCACAAGGATCCTTTGGAGAGAGAAGGCAGCCCCAAGAATGCATTTCTGCAAAAGCTGGGCAGGAAGTCTGCCATTATCAGCAGGCTATCAGAGCCGCAGCTAGCTCCTCCGGTGCTCACTTTTGACAATTCAACCAACACAGAGCATGTGCACACTAGGGACCAGAGACTCAATACCAGCATCACCATGAAGGATCTTTTCTCCAGAGAAGAGCTCAACCAGCAGCTGGCTGAGGCAAAGAGGAAATGGGAAGCGACAAGGGAGGCCCAGGCCTTAGCACATGAGAGGAGGCGGGAGATGCAAAAACCCCTCATGATAGATTGTGGGGTCCAGGTGGCTACGAAGGATGCCAGTTTCACCAAGACTAAGTTCCAACCTCTCTTGCAAAGCATTGGTGTGATGGCCAAGCCCTCCCTAGTCGATATGGGTGTGGGGATGGCAAAACTCACAGATCTCCTCTGTGACAAGTGTAGCAATGTGAAGAAGCGGTCTGTTGGATCTGGAGATGGACTGACAACGGATCTCATTTGTGATAAATGTACTTACACAAAAACTAGATCTGTTGGTGTTGGGGATTCCAAACTAAGTGATATTTTGTGTGAGAAGTGTTCACAGGTTCAAACAAAATCAGTGGGTTCCAGCAGTGATAGGATCACAGACAGAATATGTGACCGTTGTGATAACCTCCACACTCGTTCTGTAGGGACGGGAACAACCTTATTCACAGAACACACGAGAGCTCCCAAAATGTTAGCTGCATATGTTCAAACTTTGAAGCCGGACACTCGAACCACGGGAGTTAATACGCAACCCATAAATTTGAAGAAGGAAGAACTGACTCTGGATCCAAGTGCATCTCCTCCAAGTCCAGCTCTCACACCAGAAGTCGAGCGAAGGTCATTTGGTAGTTCTGGTGTGCGGATATGTGACAAGTGCCATGAGACGATTCATTCAGTTGCAAAAGATATAGTGAATACAAGTGGCACTGCATCAGCAACCAATCTTCCACCTCTTCCCCCACAGACATCGAAAATTCCACGACTAGTAGACCTAACCAAAGTGGAACCTCGGTTAGATGCCCCCAGACAGGACCTAAAATCCACTAGCAACATTTCAATGAGTCTAGGGTCAAGTTGCTCAGAAACTCAGATCTCAAGCTTGAGCAGTAGCTTCACTGAGTCCAAACCCTCATCAGTAATGACCCGGAGTCTGACGAGAACGGACTCGGCTCCAACTAAACCCAGCAAGCTTGAAAGGCCCATGAATGCCTCCAGTGATACCTCTCCAGTCAGATATAGTCACTCACCTAATCAGGGCACATCAGGTGATAATTCCTCCCTTAAGTACAGCCCATCTCCAATGTCAAGCTTGGCGAGCAGAGGGCGTACCAAGTCAGACCTAGGCCCTAGTACATTAAAAGAAAGTCAGCTGCCCAAAGTCAGTCAAAAAAACGAAACTTCAAAAGTTAGTCAGGGAAGTCATTCCAAGAAAACAGTCCAGAGTACTAATTCCAACACCAGTACCAGTACCAGTACCAGTACTAGTACTAGTACTAGTACTAGTACTAGTACCAGTACCAGTACCAGTACTAGTACCAATACCACCACCAGTACCACCGTAACCTCCAAAGCAGAGTCGGCAGTGGTTGGAAGTTCAACACAGGTAATTGTATTGTATTTTTTTGTATTTAGTTCCTGTTTTATTGAATCAAAATCTATATGCATAAGCACACATTTTTACACAGAGACAAACAGACGAAAATAAAGAAAACCCAGAAAGTATACATACAATGCACATTTATGTGCATGCCCACACTCACACTCATATGCACATACACACTCCATGCACATTCCCTGACTCACTCCCTCCTCCTCCCTCACTCCTGCACTCACTCACTCACTCACTCACTCACTCACTCACTCACTCACTCACTCACTCACTCAACTCACTCACTCACTCACTCACTCACTCACTCACTCACTCACTCACTCACTCACTCACTCACTCACTCACTCACTCACTCACTCACTCACTCACTCACTCACTCACTCACTCACTCACCACTCACTCACTCACTCACTCACTTACTAATATTCCACTGTATATGATTATAAAAGATTAAAGAGTATCATAATCTCACTCTCATAGTATGTCTTTCAGTCCTTGGCCTTTGGTCATTCTCTGAAAGTGTTGATGTGTCTACAGAAGAATTCTTTTTGTTTATTTCTATTCCTATCTATATCTATATCCATATCTGTATCCATATATATATATATATATATATATATATATATATATATATATATTATATATATATTTATATATATATAAACAACACACACATATACACATATACACACATACATACATACATACATATGTGTGTGTGTGTGTGTGTGTGTGTGTGTGTGTGTGTGTGGTGTGTGTGTGTGTGTGTGTGTGTGTGTGTGTGTATGCATGTAAATTGTAAGTATATGTTTTTACATATATGAATATAAGTATGTATGTTTTTACTCATATGAATGTAAGTATGTATGTTTTTACATATATGAACGTCTGTATTTATGTTTGTATTTATGTAAAAAGGAGTGTCTAAAAATGTGTGTTATATCTGGCCTTAATCAGGCTCATGAGCGAGGGGAAGATTAGGGTGAAAAGAAAGAAAAAAAGAAAAAGATGTTCGACTATGTCATTAACCTAGAGTATCTTATCTAATCTTTGGTACTTAATCTTCAAAACATTGATGAGCTTTTGCCTTTATCAGAGAGGGTCTTAAGTGCTGGTTAGGGGAGCCAGTGTTCAAGATGTTGTTTTGCCAGTCTGACCAAGACGTATTTTCTCATTGTAATTCCCTGTTGTGGTATTTGCTTTTCAGTAACAGTAGTTTCTGTACCTGATATTTAGTTACGGATTGTGGTTTTGAGTGGAAGATTTTGAAGATTTGAAGAAGCATTTATGTTTGTGCATTCAATATTTTTTAGAAAATATTTACATTGAGACATGGGTTGCGACCAGAGCAAAGAGCCAGAACCAAAGATTACTTGGACAGCAAAAGATGTTGTCGACAAGCGGGGAGTTATACAGACGACTGACCACTTGGCATTGTTGCCTATCACCAGTGAGGTTATTAACTATAAGGACAAAGTTGCTGCTGCTAACAATACAGTGTTGAGCGAGACCAAACATGTGCATGATCTCGGAACATTAAGCATTGTAGAAAACCCCCTTGGAAAAGAAGTTTTGGTGTATCATGATTTTACAGCATTCAGAACCCATCCAGATACAGAGGCACAGTTGGAATGTGCATTTTCTGTGGAGGGAGAAAAGTCCTCTGATGAGGAAAGTGATGGCCCTTGTTCAGTATATGATAACACACTGATGTTGCAAGATTGTGATTTAGTGACGATCAACTTGTCTGTGGAGGATGTTTCTGAAGATGTAAGTATTATACATGCAGTTAGGGCATATACATAGAAACAGAATGTGCATTAGTGTTCAAACAGAGGTAAGAACTTATTAGGTGGCAGAATATGGATTGATGAGATTGTAGATTAATTAAGAGAGAGAGAGAGAGAGAGAGAGAGAGAGAGAGAGAGAGAGAGAGAGAGAGAGAGAGAGAGAGAGAGAGAGAGAGAGAGAGAGAGAGAGAGAGAGAGAATAAATGTTTGGGATGGGAGTTTTTCCCTTATATGTCTCTATATACATCAAAGAAATTCAAATTCTAACAATGTTTCAGAGCAAGCGTGTTCCGTACGTGCGGCAAGAAACCTACACCAAGTTTTCTGAGGGCCTGGTCAATCTGGGCTTTGACGAAACTGCTGTTGCAGAGGAGGCAAAGCGGCAGAAGGAGGAGAAGGCTAAGGAGTCTGCCTCAAAAAGTCTCTCAGCGATAACGGAGAGCAATAACAACAATAGCAGTGAAGCCTCTAAACGAATTGCCAAAGTGGAAAAGCAGGAAAAAGAAGCAGAGAAGAAGGAGGAAAGTCCAAAAAAGTGTGTTTTTTTGTTTTTAGTTTTTTTTTTGTTTTGTTTTTTAAGATGGATTGAAAATTTGAAATGGATTTCGTTACTCTAATAAAGTTTTATACTTATTGAATTTGTTCTTTCCTTAGAGTGCTATGATAATGTTTTTTACAACCATTTAATCAGAGATATATATAAATTGATATGTAGGTATAGATACAAGTAAAGTTCATACATATTCAAATATAGATGAATAATATTAATTCCATGTGAAGACCCAACACTCTCTTTGCCATGACCTCATTCCTCTCTCCCTCTCCTCTCCCCTTACTCATTCTACCACAGGTCAAAGGAGGCGGAACCAGTGATCCAAGGGCGGAAAGAGCAGGAGAGCTCATCATCATCCGACAGCGAGTCTGAGAATGAGACGTGCGACGAGGAATCCTTAATGGGGGCATCATTTAGCTCTCAGGCTGTGACCTCGGTGTTCCAAAGTTCCTCCTCGCTCTTCACCACGACCAGTGAGAAGAGTAGGAAGAAGTGAGTAATGGGGCTGTCTTGTCTGCCTGTTTTGTCTGTCAATCTGGTTGTCTGTTTAGCTATTTCATTATCTGCTTGTCTTCCTGTCTCTCTGACTGTCATTATGTGTATTGTTTGATTTTGTTTCCTTTTCTAACCAGCCTCTCTCTGTCATACCATAATTATGTATACCTCTTACTTTGCAACAGGAACAACAAAGGGAAGGACAAGAAAACACATGAATATGCTCATATTTGTGTGTTCTCTTGTCCTTCCTTTTGTTGTTCCTGTTGTAATCTGTTCATCATGAATTCCACACCTCTTACTTTTCTTTCTCTATATGCCAATTTACAGTTTTGTGTGTGTGTTTGTCATTATCTGTCTGACATTATGAAATGTATTAAGTATTACATGGTAAAAAATACTATTATTAAGCCCCAGAAACTAAGCAATACAAAAATGATTTCAGATTCCTGCCACCAAGAGAAATGAAAGCTGCCCTAAAGGTCGTAAATGACTCTATTGGCAAGCCGGTGCGGTCAGGACAGCAGCTGACCAATGCCGTCAACATAATTCAGAGGGAATGGTTTAAGGTGAGTAGAATGTGTGTGTGTGTGTGCGTGTGTGTGTGTGTGTGTGTGTGTGTGTGTGTGTGTGTGTGTGTGTGTGTGTGTGTGTGTGTGTGTGTGTGTGTGTGTGTGTGTGTGTGTGTGTGTGTGTGTGTATGTGTGTGTGTGTGTGTGTGTGTGTGTGTGTGTGTGTGTGTGTGTGTGTGTGTGTGTGTGTGTGTGTGTGTGTGTGTGTGTGTGTGTGTGTGTGAGAGGAGAGAGAGAGAGAGAGAGAGAGAGAGAGAGAGAGAGAGAGAGAGAGAGAGAGAAGAGAGAGAGAGAGAGAGAGAGAGAGAGAGAGAGAGAAGAGGAGAAGAGAGAACTTAGATATCATATATGTATCAAGAATGATTACTTTAGCAAAATAGTTTAATGTTACGTAACATAATTGACTAAATCAACATCTCTCTACAGCTGTCAAGTCAGAAGGATGCCGATCCCCATGCTGTAGAAGACTACATGGATGTGTTTGAGGACTATTCGAAGGCACTCCTACAGCGCGTCGTTAACCTGGCTGATGTGAATGTAAGCCCAATTTATGTGGTCTGTCATTATTAATTATTATTATTGATAATACTGTTATTATTATTATTATTATTATTATTATTATTAATTATTATTATTATTATTATTGTGTTATTATTATTGTTATTATCCTGCTTTTTTTCATATAAGTTTGTTATTGTTTATTAGTAGTTAACCTTTCTTATTTTTTGTATAAATTCTGATCTCTTTCTCTTTTCTTCCTCTTTTGTCACTCTTCTTCCTTCCCTTTTTCTCTCCTCATCCTCTCTCATCCTCGGACTTTCAACCAAGCCCAAAATCTGCATGTAAGAATTCATTCAACAATTAATATTTCTTTTTCTTTCCCTCTCCTCCCTTTACCCCATCCCACCCCAGGGCAACACGGCAATGCACTATGCAGTCTCGCATGGCAACTTTGATGTGGTCTCAGTGCTTCTCGACTCCAAGGTGTGCAACGTCAACCAACAAAACAAGGCGGGCTATACAGCAATCATGTTGGTGTCGCTGGCACAGATCCGCTCTGACACTCATGCCAGTGTCGTCCAGCGGCTCTTTCAGCTCGGTGACGTCAACATCAAAGCCAGCCAGGTTGGGATGTGAATTACTTGCTTTTTTATTTAATTTTGATTTTTAATCTACCCCTGAGTTTTTTTTTATTTTTATTAAGATTGGTTGAGTTATAGTAACACTTTTATTCTTTAGCTTGAGTACAATTGGGAATATTAAACTCAACAAGTACTTAAGCTAGGGTCACACTAGTCTTCTCTCTCCTGGGATCCCTAGACAGCCTCGCCGAAGTCAGACAGCCTCCTAGGACAGAAAAGACTTTAGCTCTAGCCACCAAGGAGTCCATTAGTAGGCCTGATGAGACTGAACTTGATGTCCATAGTCCTTGAACTTTTTTTTTCTTAATTGATTTTGGTAGTAGTGTTATTGACATACTGATAATGTTAGTGAAATATGAATAGCAATACAGAGTCAAAGAAAATCTTTCCAAAACTCATGGAAAAGGGTCAACAACATGTTATCTACAAGTAACAAAGCCCTTTTGGAGCCATCTGTGTGTAAACCCTATTATCCAACTAAAATTATGGTGAGCATGGCATGTATATTATGCCAACTTTGATCATTGCATTAAACTAATTTCATACTAATCCGGCCAACACTTCCTGACCGTGGCACTGCACCAAAAACTGGATCAGCTCCAGACTGCCTTCTGCCCTGAGCTAGAACATATGCTTAGAGGCAATAATGATCCAGAGAGAATTTTTCTTTCTTTTTTTACAAAGTCTGTGCTCCCTTAAGATTCTGGGAAATCCAAATACTGAGGTTGCATTTTTGTTACCTCATACTCAAAGGCTCAGTTGATCAGGCATGTACATGGTCCTATTGTGAATATGACCTCATTATAGTAAAACAAATATAAAAACAATTCCTAATTAATCATCTAATTCCAGCATGGTCAGACAGCCCTCATGCTGGCCGTCTCCCACGGGCGGCTGGACATGGTAGGCCTCCTGGTGGCCGCAGGAGCTGAAATCAACATCCAGGACGAGGACGGCTCAACAGCCCTCATGTGCGCAGCTGAGCATGGGCACTTGGCCATTGTCAAGTTCCTCCTCAGCCAGCCTGATACTGATCCCACACTTATGGATAATGTGAGTTGGATTTTGTTTTTTTCTAGGGAAGGGCAGGGTATGGTAATGGGAGGATAGAGGGAGAGGGGGATTGGTTGACAAAGTATAGGGGTGTGGATTGGGATATCCAGCACTTGCTTACAGATACCAGTCCCATGCTTATGGATAGGGTGAGTGGGATTTTTAATTTTTTTTGAGGGGAGAGACGAGGGAGAGAGTGGGATTGTATGAATAAGAAAAAGTAGGGAACCAGCCTTTGTCAAGTTTCGTTTAGCCAACTAGATACTATTACATTTGTTTCTAGTTGTAAGTCCATGATTGTCCGGCTGTTGTTAGGTCTTTCCTCAGCCAGCTTCTGTGATGTGTCCCTCTCATATGGATGATATAAGTGAGGCTTTGATAATTTTAGGTATTTTGGATAATGGCTTAGTATTACCCATATATTCCTGTTGGTCAGGCAGGGTATGGTAGAATTTCATGATTTTGTGGGTAATGAGTCTATGGACGTTTGAGGAACTGATTTAATTTCTTATCCTTTTTTCTTTATCAACTTTTATTTTAGTTTATTTTGGTTTGATATGATTTACCTTTCTCATGAGAAAAAAAAGACCAGGAGTGTGAATGACACAGCATATGAAAGATGATAGAAAATGTACAATTCTACTGTTATGATTAACACATTCTCTTTGTAATTTTCTGGATAAACAATTGTGCTATTTTTTTTTATTACTGTGGTTTCTGAATAATCAATAACTTTTTCACATTTTATCTACACACCATCTGAAGAATCCATTCCCTTTATTTATTTATTTCCCCTATTTCTTCTAGGATGGCAGCACAGCTCTCACCATAGCAGTGGAGGCAGGACACAAAGATGTGGGTGTGTTATTGTACAAGCACATGAACCTCTCTCGCGGCTCCTCACCCTATTCCTCTGTCAGGTGAGAGGTATTTTATGCTTTGAGGAGGGAAGGGGAGAGACGGACAGGAGATGAGAGGGCAGGGAAGGGGAGGGGAGGGAGGCGGGGAAGGAAAGGGAGGGAAGAAGGGAGGGGGAAGGAAGAGAGGGAGAAGGGAGGGGGAGGAAGAGAGGGAAGAAGGGAGGGGGAAGGAAGAGAGGGAAGAAGAGGGGGTGGAGAGATGGAAGTAGAGAAGTGGGGGAAGAAGAGAGGGAGATGGAAAGACAAGATTGAAGGGTGGGGGAGATAGTGGGGGAATGGCAGAAAATGTCATGGTCCTGACCATGATAAGTCACAACAGTAATAACATTTCAATCAAAGTTATACTTATTATTATCATTATCAATAATTCCCATCTTTTTGTTCACTTCCTTCCAGAATAAAGCGGTCGCGGACCCCGACCATGTCACGGTCTTCAGTCACTCCACCCCCAAGGTCCTCTGCACCTTCCTCCCCAGGGCGCTCAAGGAAATCCTCTGCGCCACACTCCCCAGGCCGTTCCAGGCAGAGCTCGGCCTCCCTTTCAAATCTCATGATCTAGGGCTGAAATATTTGTTGTCTCTCTCATTTATGTGTGATTTTTTCTCTCTTTTTTTCCTATTTTAATTCTTTTCATTCTTTTTTTCATACATGTGTAATTTTTTTTCTCTCTTTCTAATCTCCAGTATAGAAATCAGTGCAGGAGCTTTATAAAGCCCATTTATCTATAGCTAAGGTCTAGTGACAAGAACTACAATTATGAAGATGACAACTTTTGGTGCTTAGTGGTTGCTGCTCTTACTTTTAGGAACTTAACACTCCAAACTGCATTCCGAGGGATGTAATCATGTGGCCACCACTTTCATTTTCTGTGTTGTTTCCCTTAGATCATCAGTGAAACTCCTAATTGAAAATTTAAATGGCTTTGTGAATGGTGCTCTAATTAACAGTAAAAAGCCATAAAAGCACAAGCAGTTTATTCTTTACATCAAAGCTTGAGCTTTGCATTTGTGTTGCATTCATTGCGAGAGCTTCATCTTGCATTATAGTGATGCTAACATTGCTGTAATGGGTTTAGGCCAAATATTATGAAGGTCTCTTATGTTGTTGTTTTTTATGATAATAGACTATGCCTTCTTACTCAAAGAGAGAATATACTTTCTTAATCATTTTAATAGAGGCCTGGATTGTGCTTCCACCACAAAAGAATAATCTTCATTAGGGTTATTTTTAGGATAGCAAAAGTCACAATTAAGATAGGATAACTTGGTAAGTCTGCAGTGATATTTATTCCAAAATGGCAGAAAGATAGGAGAGAGAGGAACTATGCACAGTGGCACTGAATATGACCGACAAAGGTCTTTTGTATAGGTACTTCTTCAGTGAACCTGTGACTTCACAAATGTCCCATTGTTTTGCCTCCTGTGTGAAGTCCATTTATACTTTTTAGGGGGGAACAAGACAGAATGTGTGAAGAGGAAAGGAAAAAGGATTGAAAGATAAAGGATGATGCAAGAAATGAGAGAGGAAGGAAAGAAAAAAAGAAAGAAAGAAAAAGAAAGAGACGAAGGGAGGAAGGAAAGAAGTAAAGGTAGAAGGAAGGACTGAAGGCCTTATTGTGATAATTTATTTGTTGACTGAAGTTTGTTTAGGATCTTGATGTATTTTTCCATGGTACAGATTTATTTTGTTCATGAAGTGTTGAACGCGTTGATGGAGTATTTTCTGTTGACAAGTTATAAAAGTAGTCTCTATGTCAATAAAGAAGATATTTTACATTAAGAATGATATTGCAGTTATAATTGTTTTAATTTTAAAAGAGATCACAGACACTTGAAGTCTGAGAATGAAAATGAAAGACATGGAAAATTCTAGCACAGAATTAAACAATTTATATAAACTTGATGTATGTTAATATTGACAATAATTAGATGAAGATGTTATAAATAAAGCTCACTCCTCTATGTAAATGAGGGAATCAAAAATCTCTAAGAAACCCTTGAATAAAAAGTGATCCATGACAGTGCTGATATGAAGTGGAAACTGTTTCCGTGGTGTAATGTCTTCAATTAAGTTTTGTCGAGGAAAGTTAATATGAACGAATCGGGATATTTCTTATTATCATTATTAAGAGTTTTATTGCTATTATTGGTTTGTTTGTATTTATTATTATTATTATTATTATTATGATTATTATGATTATTATGATTATGATTACCATTACTATTACTATTATATTATTGTCATTATTATTATTATTATTATTATTATTATTATTATTATTATTATTATTATTATTATTATTATATTTACCATTCTTAGTATCATTATTACTGCATTTCACAGCATTGCTTCTAGTATTTGTTACTAATGACATAACAGCTAAGAGAAGCCGCTAAATGTATGGGTTTCTTGCGAATATCTCACGCATTCCTTTAACATTCCGTAGAATATAGGCAGTTCTATCTCCTCATTCGTGAGTTAACGCAAAAATGTACATTATATGTTCTCTCTTTATTTTATAAGGGATACTTGGAATCATTCTAATCAGAGATGTCCATTGTGTTAATGCGTGCAACACTTTGACAATCGTATTTTTTAAGGCTAATTTTCTAATGTGATAGTTTATTTGTATAAAGCTGTTTTTTAGTGATAAAGAAAAGTTTTTTTTTTTTTTTTTCATTTTAAAATTTTAATCACAGTGCTGTCATACTTACCTGGGATACTTAAGGTATTTCGTAATTATGTAACTCACATCTTTTGTATATTCCTTTTTTTTATTTCTTTCTTTTTACAGTGAGAACTGTTTTGTATTTTGTTCTAAGAAAGAAAGTAAATGCCACACTTTTTCTTTTCCCTTTTTTTCTTGTGCATTATATAATGACTTAGGTGCCCAAATGTGCAGTTTAACTTTATGCCTGAGTGTATTTAGAATATTTTGTTCTCTTATGGTGACTGTCCCCAAACTAAGCTTGCATTATAGAATGGATTCAACAACCAGAATAATAAGCCTCCATTGCCAAAATAACATTTATTCAATGTCGAGTGAACAGAACTGTTGATATTTCTCTTTGGCTTCTTAGATGTAGGAAAAGGGTTGAATTTGAGTGGATGATTCCACAGTGCAAAAAGACGTGTAATTAACATTTTGATATTACACCTTCGCTTTAGTGAGGTAACGTGGAATTGTTCACTCTGATTCGACTCCATTTTCTACATGTGGTACAGTGAACTTTGTTCTTGTTAAACATCCAGGTAGTTAGTTTTCTGGTCATTCTCATCAGCTCGCACATCAAACTCTGTTATAATCAACCGAGTGCCTTTTGTTGTGTATGTCGATGTAGTTGATGAAAAGCCTAGCCAGTCTCGTCATGCATTTGTTTACGTGTTTTGTTGTATTTTTTCCTACTTTTTTTTTCTCTTTTTCTCCTTTTTTAATTTTTTTTTTGTTTTTTGTTTTAGTTTAGCATTTTGCAAGAATTCACATTGGTGCTCCGTAAGGTCAACAACAAGGGTCTAAGGAATGCTAACTTATTAAAAGGAAAACTCTTCTCATCGAGGTTGCATTGCCAATGTACGTTTGGTATATCTTTCCTGATCTGTCATAGTAAGATGTGGAAAGTGAACATGTCTGAGAAAAAAGAAGAAGAAAAAAAAAAAAATTCTACTGGTGCCAAAAAAAGTTTATAGGATATGATCTTATGGTGGCATTTTCTTTGCTTATATAGAGTCATACGCAAAGTGGATTTGTGTATCAGGAGATATGCCTATGAAAGTGATCAAATTATATGTATTTCTGCAGTACTGATGCATTTGTCTTTTCCTTTTAGTAAATGAACATAAAAGAGTTCTCGGTTATAACATGTCTATGTACTCCGTCCCTTTCTCACCTGTTTTTATCTCTTTTTTTTTATCTAATATGAACATTTTATTATAATATACCTGTAAATATTGTTTGGGTTTTTATTTACCAATGTCTGAACCACCTGTGCTTTTGAGAGAGACATTTTTATCCACTTGGCTGAGCGAGAACTTCAAGAAATGCTGGATAGATTTGTCGTTCCCCTGACCCTTGTAGTCTGGCCTGTCTTTTAATTGTTGCATGACTTTACTACCATAACCTTGGTGCTGCGGGACCTTTGAGGAAGGAATAACATGCCCCCATACCCCCGTCTTCCTCTGCCCCTCCTTTATTTTTTACTTTTACTTCTCTGTTTCCCTCTGCCTATGTCTTTCCTTGTCCTGGTTGGTACTGGCTCTCTCTTTCTCTGTCGTTTCCTCTCCCTCTTCCTCCCTTTATCCCTGTTCTTGTCCCTCAACCTCTCCCTATCCTTGTCCTTGTCTCAATTCCTGGTTCTGTTCCTCCCTTTACCCCTGTCCCTTTCCATCTCCCTCTCCCTGTCTTTGGGTTAAGGGCCTGTGCACAAGTACATTGCCTTCCAGGCACTAAGGTATTTTCCCCACATGTATATGTATCAATATGAATATATATATATATATATATATATATATATATATATATATATATATATATATATTATATATATATATATATATATATATATAATATATATATATATCCTTCCTTACCCCTACTCTCATAGCCTCAGATAACATAGATTTCTGAGGTTGTTATTACATATAGAGGAAGTGATGTTGAGAGAGAGAGAGAAGTGCCGCACGAGGGGAACGTGGGGTCCCCTGTGTCACTGTTAATTATGGTTGTTGTGCCAAGCTTTTGTTATTGAATACGTTGCCTCCGTTGCAATAAATGATGATGAAATTGTGATGCTTTTTTGTAGCCTTTCCAAAAAATTGGCAAGTTAAATGGTGAAAGTATGTTTTTCATGGCCCTCCTTTAAAACTGGAAAGTTAGCATGACTGAAGTGATTATATCTAAATCATTTTACTTTGTAAGCAGGGGAGAACAATTCATCTGTGCAAAAAT